GAAGATCTTATAATAAATTGTAAAAATCAATTTTCTTTTGAAATTCATTATCTATTACTACATTTTTTTGAATAATTTTAGGAGAATGATTATATATAAAAGACAAAATCTCTTAATAATAATCTAAACTCAGATAAAACTATATTAAAATCATAATAAAGGATATGATAAAATCCTTCTAATATAATAAATGCTAAAACTGTTGAAATTATATTAAAAATATAAAAAAGGATATAATGAAATTATTTTGAAAAGGTTTTAATAGGCATTTATAGAAAGGATCAATATTTATTATTTTATTATCATTCTTTATGTTTTTAGATAATTTTAGAAAAAAAGGTCAATTTTTTATTATTTTATTTATTTTTATATTTTTTAGACAATTTGGGTAAAAAAGGATCAATTTTTTATTATTTATTTTCTATTATTTTATTTATTATCTTTTTTGATATTTTTAGAGAAAACTAAATAATCTAAATAAACTTAAAATTTAGGATAAATTAATAAAATAATGCATTAAGTTTACATTTTTTAGATAATTTTAAGATAGATTTTTTTATTATTCTTTATGTTATTTAACTATTTAGATAATAGTAATAATATATTTAGAATGATTTTAAGAGATTTTAAAAGGAAATAAATTATATATTTATTATTTTATTATTTTTTATTATTTTTTTGCTTATTTTTAATAAAAAATTTATTAGTGAATTTTAGTTATGTCTATGAAAATTTATATTAGATTTATATTATTAATAAAATTTTAATATTTGATAAATTTAATTAAATAAAATATACTGATTTTATATGCTTATTTAACTAAATTGATGCTAAATTAAGGTTAATTTTAGAATAATTTATGGTTAAATTAATTGTTTGATTAGAATCAATCAGTGATATTTTAGGCTAATTTATGATTAAATTTAAGTTTTAAATTGATATTAAATTGATATTAAATTGAAGCAAATTTTAGGCAATTTATGATTAAATTTAAGTTTTAAATTGATACTAAATAGCTATATCTAATTGAAATTGATTAGTAATAATTTGAATATTTAGAAAATAATTAAATATATGACTAATTAGTTATAAATAGTATCAAAATCAGCCTAAAATTGATTATCTGATTTTTAGTTGATTTAGATTATTTAACTAATGTATGTCATTTAATAATACAAATAATAAACTTTATTTTATTAACTTTAATTTTAACTCTCATATTAATATATATAAGAATATAATATTATTTTTTAGCATTTTTTTAATAAAAATTTACTAATTTACTGCAAAAATTCTGTAATGTAATATTTTAACAATATTATTGCTAAAAATTATTTTTTGTATTTATCAATAAATATTATGAAAAATTTAATTAAAAAAGAAATAAAGATTTTTTAAAAAAAATTTTACTATGATTAATTAATATTATAATTTCTTATAAAATATAAATTATATGTTTCAATTTATTCATAGATTAGCAATTAAGTTATAATTCATAAAAATTATATTCAAGATACTTTTTTAAAATAGTATTATTTAAGAAATATATTTATAATAATTGCTTATTTAAGTTAAAAAGTTCAATAATTCTTTATATTAATAATAAAAAAATATTTATAATATTATATTTTATTAAAAAATTATTTTTAAAATAATATTTTTTTTTAATATTTATTTTTAAAATATATTTTTTATAAATATACTAGCTGCTATCATTAATAAAGTAATAAGAAAACTGAATTTCTCTTATTTAACTTACAAATGACATATTGTAAATATTTTATTTATAATAACTTGATTAATATTGATAATAAAAATATAATTTTATTACTATTAAATTTTTCTCATTAAGATAAATCTAATAATATAAATTTTATCAAATTCTATTTAGTAGATTACTTAAAATCTGAAATATGTAGATAATAAATTTGAAAATATCTTATAATATGTAATTTTAGTTAGAATTAATATATAAATTTTATATAAACTCTAATATTAGAGAAGTTCAAAGTCTTATAATAGAAGTAAATTATAGGATATTATATAGAATTCTAAAAGAAAATTAGTTCTTTCAATAAAAAATCAGTTTTAATAATTTTTGTTGCTTTATAATAAAGTAAATTCTAAAAGAAAACTTATGTAACTTATTTATTTTATTGTAATATATTTTTTTTAAAAAGCATTTTCCTTTTTGAAATTTTGTGTAATGTTATACAATTTAATTATTATTATTTATATATGTATTCTAAAAGTGACTATTATATACAAAAAATTATTCTATTAATAAATTATATATGTTAATAGTATCTTATAAAATAAATAAATTTATAAATTCTTTTTTAAATTTTAGTATTTTATAATAAACTGATTTTAATATTTTTCATAATTTATTATGGATTTTATTTCAATTAATCTTAGAAGATTTAGATTTAAATAAATTTTATAAAATAAATAATAATTCTTATTATAATGATTAATTGATTTTTAATGACTTTAAATTATATTAACTAAAAAATTTTGAGTTATTTATAAATAGTTTAAATCAATTTATTAATATAAAATTTATTAAAATAATATGTATTTTTAAAAATATTAAAAGTAAAATAATATTGATTAAAATAATTCAAATTAGCTAGAAAATTAGATGGTTAAATTTAGACACTATTTATAGTTGTATTGTATATTTTTTAATCAACCTAGATTATAACTGATCAATTCCAATTATAAATCAATTTATAATTAACTTCAATTTATTAATTTAAAATATAAATTCAATTGTAAATCAGTATTATTTCAATATCAATTTAATTAAATAAATATATAAAATTAGAATATTTTATTTAATTAAATTTATTAAATATTAAATTTTATTAATAATAAAAATCTAATATAAAATTTGTAAAAATATAATAAAAATATATTAAAATCTACTGATTAATTTCTTATTAAATAATTAATATAAGCAAAAAAATAGAAAAAATCTATGAAAAAATAATAAAATAATAGTAAAATAATAGAAATATAATTAATTTTCCTTTAAAATCCTTCTAAATTATTTAAATATTTATTATTATAACATTATTATTATTTAAATAATATAAAGATAATAAATAAAATAATAAAATATATCCTATAAGAATTTACTTATTCATAATTTAAAATTTTTATTAGGATTGAGAGCTGAAAATACTTTTAAAGAGGATTTATATTTAGATAAACAAGCTGATTAATAATTAATTTTCTTTTTAAATCTATTGAAATTATTTAAAAAAAATGTAAAAATAATAAATAAATAATAAACTAAAAAATCAATATCTGAAATTTTCAAAAAATTGTAAAGATATTAATAAAACTATAAAATAAAAAATAGAAGAAATTAACTTTTAAAATGGTTTAATAACATATAAAATATAATAAGTTAAATAATAAAAATAGAAAAAATTAATTTTAAAATTATCTAAAAAATATAAAAATAATAAATAAAAAATAAAAATATAAAATCAACTTTAAAATCATCTAAAAGTGTAAAGATAAATAAGATAATAAAAAATAATAAAATTAAATCTTATTTTTATTTAAAATTAACTAAAATCATATCATTATTATCATTTTCAATTATTTGGATTGATTGCTAGAAAAATCAGGTTCCAGAAATTTTTTAGCAAAATTGAGATTTTTATTGCATTTTAGTTTTTGATATTATTAGATTAAAATGTATTAAGTTCTTAATTTTAGTCAAAAATTTCTCGGAACCTGATTTTCCTAGAAACACTCTCATTTGATATCATTTATTATAAAATCATTTCTCATTTTTAATAGTAAATGATACCTTTCTTTTAACTTTTATATATTTTTCAATTTCTGTTATATATTCTTTAATAATAATACTTTTTTTGATTTTAGCATCATAAATATTTGATTAAGCTTTATATAATTATTTTGAAATAATAATAAGTTTTAGTCAGTTAAAGCATAATAAATATCATTATATTTTTATTTTTATTATATTTGAGATGATAATATAATACTAATAGTTCATAAAAGATATTTTAGCTAAAAAAAAAAATAAGAAAGAATGTTAATATAAATATACTAAATAAATTCAAATTAGATAAGAAATGAAAGAATTATAAAAACTATTAATAATCACCCTTTTTATCATGTGAATTATTTAATATTAAAATATTTGTCATATTGTATCACACCTCTTAAGTTTTCATTTTTATTATTTATTCAGAAAACTTAGTTTTTTTGAGTATTAAAAACTATTTTTACATATATATATTTGTTATAATTAGAGTTAAGGTTAAGATTAGTTAGGGTTAATTAGAATTTGTTAGGGTTAGTAAGAATTATGTATTAGTATATTATTAAATGAGAAAATTGGTATCCTCTGGTATGAAATAAATATATTCTTTAATAATTATCTTAATTATTTTTAACCTGATTTATAAAAAAAAAATTTTAATAAAAATAAAATATTAATTATAATAAATTTAATTTTTAAATAATTTTAATTAATTTATAATCTTATTATAAAGTTTTAATTATATTAAATTAATATTAAAAGATTAATTTATAAATTTTAAGTAAAAAAGATGTAATAAATTTTTTAATTATATAGAATTATTAATATAATTTAATATAATTTTACTTTATGTATATTTTAATATATAGTTTTAAATTTTAGATTTTAATAAAGATTTTATATAAATAACTTATTAAACACTTAGGTTTTAACAATAATTTATTATATTAATTAAAGAAAAATTATATTAATTATATTTTAATAATATTAAAAAATAAAAATAAAAATATTTTTATAAATAGAAATATATGTTTAATATAAGATAACTATTGGCAAAATTAGATTTTATTATATTATCTTTTTTTATATTTTAAAAATACACCTAATAAAATTCATACACAAGTGAATGTTACAACATCGTCAATGACAATGATTGCGTATACCGTAAACATAAGTGAGATTAGTCAAAATTTTAAAAAACTATATCACAATCTTCATCATCAGCTTTCTTTAACAATTCTTTTAATTCACCACGTTCGTGTAATACAGAAAGATACTCTCGAATGAAAGGTCCGTAATCAAATGTTTGCCGCTCCTTTTCAATCTATAAAAATAAAAAAGTTATTTTTTTCGATTTCGTCATTTTCATTCAAATATATAATAATTTAATAAACGAAAATTTTAAAATTATAATTTACCTGCTTCAATTTATTTTCACGTTTAATAGCTTTTTGTAAAACACGAATCTCATCAACCCAGTTTGTTCGTAATTGTATGAGCTTATTGGCATCACCTCTATTGGAGTTGAGAACCTCAATTTCTTTGGTAACATTATCCCGCTTAGCAACTTCCATTTCTTCATCTTCAGTTAAGTCTTCGACAAACTTTAATTAAAAGCAACCGGCGTATCATAAGCAAACAAAATAATCATCTGATTTAAAAATTTAATAAATACCTTTGGTTCATTAAGAAGAACAGCTCTCCACTCGCCATTTAATTCATCCAATACGGATTCAACGACCCTTTTGAGATAAATGCATTCCTTGGTTCTCATTTTCTTTATAAATATTGGATCTTTTGTTATTGCTAATAGAACAAAATTGATTTGTTCTGCATAAAATCTATAAATTAAATAAGAAATATTTAATTATTTAATCCAAATCGATTTTAATAGTTAAGCAACTATTAACATACCCCTGTGTACGTGCTCGCATTGCATCTCGCGCCGCATCATACCATCTCTGTTTGTCGGAATATTTCCCTGAATAAAAGAGAAAGGACAGCAAATAAAAGAAATAAATATTCACTTGATAAAAATATTCGAATGTCAGTAAACCTACCGACACTAACGGGGTGCGGATATAGTCCATCCAATTGCCAAACTTCACCATCAACGGGAACATAAGCAATATAATGATACACTTCAACAGATTCGTCTACTGTAGCACTAGGTTTTCCACTAGCTTCTTCTACAACTAAGGCCTCTTCAGGGTGTCTATCAAATGATTTAGTATAATTAAAAGACCATTATTCAAAAGAAGAGTAAACTGAATGCAAACCTCGACATTGAATTATGAATTAAGCGGAACGATGGATGATTCGTGATGGTAAAACCTTTTACCTAAATGATTAAATCTAAATCGTCAGTAAAGAATTGACTGCAAACAGGTAAACAAGCATACCTACGGGAGGTGGGAAATCCTTTGTGAATTCTTTGAATTCTTTCAAATCGTCACCAATTTCCAATTGTGGGCTATTTAAAGCTATATTTAACACCGCCAATGTTGCACAGGCATTGTCAACGACCTAAATTACAAAGACAAAATTCAACAAATCATTTAATCATCTTTTAAGTTAATGAGCAAATGTACCTGATTTGCGAAATAAACGTTCTTTGGGTTGTCGACAGGGGTATATTCCTCAGATTTATATAAGCTTTTAACATCTCCCATCATCCTGAAAAGGTACACAAAACCATATATCTCGCTAGGGAGAAATTAATTAAAAAAAGGTCCATTAAATAAATAAAATATAATGACCCTCGCAAGTCAGTAAGTCAAATACCCTAATTCATGAAAATTGTCTATATCATCAAGTACAAAAACCTCTGTGGCCTGGGCACCTCTTACACCCAAATCATACATTAACGCGTTGAATAGTTCTATAATTTGAACAAGGTGAATATATAAGAATATTAAAAGTGAAATGATTCTCTCTTTTTTATTATTATTATAAAAATGTTACTTGGTTCAGATTGCAATTTAACCCATGGTCCATGAATTCTTTGTTCGTGAGGCAATAAAATTGAAGACATTGTGAAAATAAATTTATGCTCAGGAATGGATCGTGTTAAATGCAGAAATGATGGTTACAACAAACACGGCAATATGTTAATGGGGACCTTCCTAATCCGGCTTGAATTGGCGGTCTAAGCTGATTTTGGTATGAGGTTTCAATTTACTCGGTAGTGCGAAGTTGAGAGTTGAGCCAAAATTAAAAGTCTGTTCACTTCATACTTTTTTAGGAAAAGAAAATAATTCAGCCTAAATTGAAATAATTTCTGTTGTTTTTATAGTCATAAAATTCAATTTATTTTTATTTTTTTTTATTTTTTTTTTTTTATTTTTTTTTTTTTTTAAAAAAAAAAAGAGACCGCGAAAGCTGTGATTTTTTTTTTAAAGGCTATTGAAGAATTCCAATATAACGACCGAACTTATTTTTTTAAAAAAAAGAATAGGCAATAATTTCGACTTTTCAATATAGATTTACATAAAATTGGAACTCCCAATAAAAATTTTTTCGACAAAATTCGGGTCAACCAATCGTTCTTCGTGAACGATAGATAACAATTAGAATGATGATAAATCGTTCTTCTTGAACGATTCGGTCAGGTCAGGTCAGGTCAAATGAAAATTTAAATCAGGTCGGATTTCTGTTTGACCTGATCTTCTCAGTTCATGTTTCGGAGCTCTAAGTGTCAATATCTTATAGGGTGATACTAAATATTTTGTGACTAAATGAGAAGGAGTGATTAAATAGTGGGGTGACTGTAGAATTGATTTAATGAATATTTTATCAATAACTCGTGTTTATATAGCTTGGTGAAATTTAAGGAGTTAATCTATACCGGAGAAAATTACGATCACCTATGAAAATTTCAGACATACAATTGATTTTAAAGACGGCTAGCCGGAGCATAATGTAATATTATTAATTCGATATTTACGACGAACGCTCAGGGCATAATCTTATATTTTGATATTACATAATAATGCTGTAAAAGTA